CTGCTCCGAGCATCTGGGTTAGTCTGGATATCTCTCACAGGAGGTGATTAGAAGCTTCTGAGTTCGGCACGAGCTGAAGAGAAGGCCCTGATCTAACACCCACCGTATTGGTTTGTTATTGATGTGCACTGTGAAGTGATGAGATCACGAAGTCTTCCACTTACAAAAGTAACACCGTGGTATTACCATGTTTTTAGAACATGACATCTTGTATCATTTTCGAGTTTCTTTTTTGGGGCCACTACATTATGCTTATGCCTTGGTATTCATTGAAGTACTGTGCAAATACCATGGTATGTAAATATGTAAATCAGTCAGTACCATGATTTATGCTAAAGTACTATAGAGGTACCAGTGCATGGTGTGAGGTAAGGTTGTTTTTGTTGTTTTGCTTTGCTTTTGGACGTGGTATAGTAATAAATTTTTTTTTGTTTAAAAAGATACATGATTAAATTGAAATACTAATAACTGGTATATGAGTAATTATTCTGCACCATGGTTTATATTAAATTATCAAGGTGTTACCATCATATATACTGTCAGTATTGTTTACTTTTAGAAGCTGCATTTATTATTTTCATGCAGATTTTATTGGTTATTTTCTCCAGGCATTTAACATAATATTCATCAATTTGACAAATTGACATTTTCAGCCATTTAGAGCACCATTTTTTGTTTTTCTGAACAGGCATTGCTTTTCCTTTTCTTTTTTTTTTGTAAATTTTTTGCTGATATTTCTTTTTGTGTGCATTGCATTTGACCTATTTCTGTTTTTCTTTCTCTCTTGTTCTGCTCTCTTGTAGCGCAAAGAGGCAACTATACAGCATACTGCTTATTTCCACGTGCTTTCCCTCATCTGAAGAGGCATCTGTTCCAGCCCCTCTGACCCTGCTTCAGTCTTTCTTTTTTCCCTCTTTTCCTGTTCTTTTTATCACTCTTCTCCTTGATCACTGACAGATCCTCTTCCTTTCCCTAAGGCCTGTTTCTGACACCGGTTTTGTGCAGTTCAGCCTTAAATTAAACCGAAAAGGAGAAAATCACTGTTATCAATTCCATAGACGGTACGTCACAACTGATGTGAGCAATTACCCCAAGTCGAAAAAACACTTGCAGAGGCTGAAGCTGGACTGTGAAGATCAGTTAATGGATGTGCATCTCAAACTCTTTGATCTGTACTCCTCCTGCCTTTCTGGTTCACGTTCCCAGTGTGAGACAGGAAGTGGTGTTATCATCACCCAGTGAAGAGCTCAATTTTTCACACCCGAGGTGTCATAATTCACTGCAGCGTTTTTTTACGACTTGACTAACATCTGAGGTTAGTTTGTACTCCCCTTAGAAAACAAGCGCTGCATGCCACCTTGCTCTTTCATACACACACACACACACACACACACACACATACAAACTGCCATCCATTCCTCCATCATTATTTATAAAAGAACAAAAACAACTTAATTGTTCTAAAACATTTACTGATTCAGAGTTTTTAAGCTCCCTTAAGAGCTGCAAGGGGGGTCTGAGTAAAATAGATTATAACAATAATTGCATTATTTATTGTTCATATTCATTTTGAAAGGTACTATGAAAGTAAACTTGAATTGAATTTAAAATGTTTCTGTTGTATTGTAATATTGGTTAGATTTTTTTAAATTACTTATTTATTAACTTAAATATTTTACATATATTAAATATATATAAATTAAATATTGTTTTTTTATCATTTATGACTTCAGCACATGTCGTCTTGATCATTTCATTTTTTTCCACACAGAATAAATGTCTGTATACTAGAAAATAAATTCCTGTCTTTATATTTTATGAAGGGGATCATATTTATAAATAAAAAACCATTTACCATTAAAAAACAAGCAATATTATTGTTAACATTTTTGTATTTTTGTATTTTTTTAACTCTAGATTCAGTAGCAGTATATATTTATTAAACACTGTATTCATTCATAGCATTGTAGCATTAATGGAAGAAGGACGTCATAGAACTGGATGTAATGAAAATCATCTGATATATATATATTTTTTTTTAAACGGGTCCGGTTTTTTGATTCCACATGCTAGAGTACTAGGAACTGCAATTTCCATGATGCCTTATGTAGGCTGTACACATTTTTGAGTTTGTGAGAGGTTTAACCTTCCATCGGTCTGCCAGGCCGTTAGTCAGACCTTTAAAATCTGTTAATTATCTCCTAATGAATGACTTAACTCAACGGCTTTGAGAATTTGGCTCCAGGCAGCGCTTGCTAAATACTTCTACAGTAAAACTGACTGAACACACTGTAAATTCATTCGAATCCATTCGTTCCAGATGATGTTTGGTTGCTGAGGATGGAGTCAGTTCACATATCTCCCCTCCAGGCACGGTGATACTATATCGGCTCTCACGCATCCTGGAATCATTAGTTAACTGCTCTGCCGTCGTTCTGTATGTGTATGTGTGGTTACACAACAGTGGGAGATTTCGTTGAGATTTGTGTGTGCTGTTGAATGCACCAAAGTTCTCACGGTTCCATTCCATCCCCCTCTCCTCACCTCTCATTGGCTGCTTGGTTTTAACAGACAGCCCTGTTGCCCCGCCCTCACCCCAGGGTTGCCATAGGCAGTGAAACCGATGCTGCCAGCGTTTAAATATTTCCCTCTGCTTATACTGTGGGGCCTGAGGCATGCAGTCTCGATTCTATCTCACTTTATCTCCCGAGAGGGAAAGTAGGCATGCAGGTTTTTTCGTTGTATCTGTGAAAAATATTACTGTTTTTTTTATGTCCACTCGGACTCTCGCCAGTTTCATTCTTCTAAGATGTGACCTGTGCTCTCCATTTGAGTCAAAGAAATGCTAGCCTGGCCTGTCTCTACGTGAATAATGATTTCCTCTTTCTTATTTTTTAATTTGACATAATCATGTCCACTCGGACTCTCGCCAGTTTCATTCTTCTAAGATGTGACCTGTGCTCTCCATTTGAGTCAAAGAAATGCTAGCCTGGCCTGTCTCTATGTGAATAATGATTTCCTCTTTCTTATTTTTTAATTTGACATAATCTTAACATGATCCATTCCAGTGAGCCCTCACTTACCTGACCCTTTCAGGTGAAATTTGCCGGTGGATTTTGCGTGCCCAGGGGAGGCACCATCATCCTCAGGTTTTAGTTGCGACCTGTCCGTTGCTGTTCCGGATCAACCCTGTGTGAGTTTGGTATGCTTTGAGAAGACAAACGAGAGCATATGAGAGCGGGACAGGAAAGCAGATGGCAGTAAATTTGACTGAGCGGGATTTGGTAGCTTGTTCACTAGGCTTGGCTTGGGTGTAGTACATTAAGCAGATGACTTATGATGACAGCTGGATTGAACGCGCTCCCACATCCTGCAATACCTCCGACCACCAGAGGGCAGCACTGCTGAGAGCATGTGCTCACATACATACAGTTCTGTTATTTATTTATTCATTTTTCCAAAGAGTATTATCTTATCAAGCTAAATCTCAGTTTTTGTGGTGTTTCTGCTTATTGCCTCCAGCTATTCTGCTGAAACACATTTCTAGTGCTCACAGATCATCAGAAAACATATAATCATGTCTTTGGACAGTGTTGGGTGTCAGTGCAATGAAACTCTGTAAATGTCTCAAGAATGAATGCATTAAAGGAATAGTTTAATCTTTTACTCACTCCCTTGTCATCCAAAATCTGCATGACTTGTGTGCTATATTCCTACTTCTTTGAAGATATACAACTAGAACTGAAATAATTATTCACAGAAAACCTCTGCTATTGCACACCTTGACGTGTTCATGAAAGAAGTACTGATGGCTAATTCGTGAATGAATTTGGAGTCAGTTCTTTTCAATCAATCATTTGATCTTTTTCACAAAACTGATTTGAATGATCCTTTCAGGAATCAGACTGATCCAGTTCTCAAGGTCAACTCACTGACTTTACTGCACGATTTGCGAATGAATCACTCTTTTGGTTGATCCTTTTAACAAAACTGATCTGAATGATTCATTTGTGAATCACACTGATCTGGTTTTTGAGTTCAACTCACTGACTTAGCTTCCCAGATTTCTGAATGATCTTTTCAATGAATGCGTCAATCCTGTTCACAAAACTGGTCCAAATGATTCGTTCAAGACTAATCGGACTAATCTGGTACTCGAGTTCTCGAGCACACAAGCCATATGAACCACTTCATTTTGCATCTTTTGTGAAGATCGAAAGGAATTTGTAGTGAACTATTTTTGGATTTGAATCTATGTAGAAGTGTCTAATATGGATGGAACAAAAGCTGATGAAACGCAGAGCAGGGAAGGATGGATAAACACCAAGAACAGATGAAGGAGACTGCACAGATCTCCGCCCGAGGCCTACACAGTTTCCTGCGAGCACAGAGATTTCAGAGAGACCCGGGGTGAACCGCAAGCAGTCGAGGAGTCTGTGAGAACCGCTTTGAGCCAAGTCGCTAAACCTTGCCTTCCATGGAATACATAAACCTGCCACGCTATTTGATTTATCCTCCTCATTCACTCGCTCCTGTTACTCTGAGTTATAAACATTGTGTGAAAACGGAGGGAGAGGAAGAAAGAAAAATCACAGTCAGGAACGGAGAACATCCACCTTTTCAAAAACAAACCGGAGCGAAATAACTCTGGGGATGTGATGTATGACAACCCTCATCACGGAGTTATGTAGTTAATATAACTGGAGTAACACACTCTTACACACTCACACACTGGTCTTGTTTTCACCCGTTCTCTCTCTGTTATATGAATCTCTTTACTATTTTTGCATTGGACACTCATTTTGTCCATCTAATTTTCTGTGCACAAATCCATTTGTGTCCCTGTGTGCTTCGCTCTTGGCCTGCTGTGTGTTCACTCAACATATTTATTTACATTCTGTCTTATCAGGCACGTTTCGCTAGGATTATGGTTTTGTACTAATGCTTGTCTGTTGTTCATCAGCACAAACATGTTTATTTGTGTGTGTTTGCATGCACAGATGGAGGAGCTGTTGGCCGCCATGGGAAAGGTGAAGCAAGAGTTGGAGTCCATGAAGGCCAAGCTGTCGTCCACACAGCAGTCCCTGGCAGAGAAGGAGGCTCACCTGACCACACTGAGGGCAGAGCGCAGAAAGCACCTGGAGGAAGTGCTAGAAATGAAGTAAGACCTTTATGCCTGTCCTTCACCCCTTTTGGCCTGATATAGCGGTCACTGCCGTCTTGAAGAGCTATTGATGCTTTTTTTAAAGGGATATATTATGATAAACAGGATTTTCTTGCTCTTTTGAAAGGAGTATGTAGACATATTCCATCATTACCAGTACAGCCCTATTATAACTTGGCGTGGACATTGTTACTCATTTTACTTGCAAAGGGGTTAGCCAGTCATAACAGAGGCCATTCTCATATTTTAATCTTAAAAGTACAGTAGAAAAATTATCCAACAAAATCATTGTTAGAAGGATTTTCATGGTGTAGGTCAGGGGTTTTCAAACTTTTTGATGCATTGGACCTCCAACAATGATTTTTTTTTAATTTAATTTAATTAAAAAAATTAATTATTTTCTTTTATTATTATTTTTTTCTCACTTTGTTCCATACTATTTAAAAAAATGTGTGAAACATTGTGTATTATTTAATAATGTGCACAGTTCACATTCTGCATACACTCTAAAAAATGCTGGGTTGTTTCAACCCAATGTTGGGTCAAATATGGACTAACCCAACTGTTGGGTTAAAAAGCTAATTTAAAAATGTAACTAAAATTTAACCCAACAGTTGGGTTAGTCCATATTTGACCCAACATTGGGTTGAAACAACCCAGCATTTTTTTAGAGTGTACTATTAAATTATAGTTTTCATTCATATTTTATATGAGATTTTATTTTTATATTTTCTCTTTTCATTTAAATTTTTCTTAAAGTTTTAGTCATTTTGATGTGTTCTTTTGTCATTTTTAGCAGTTTAGTGTTTTGTAGTTTTCAGTTTCAATCATTTTAGTTATTGTAGTACATCAAGGTAAACTAAATAAAAATAAGAAATTTTGCCTTGGCAACTAGCTAAAATAAAGTTGTTTTATATTTTATTTCAGTTAATGATTATTTTATTTCAAGTAAATTTCAAATGGTTTTTATAACAGATATAATTTATTTATTTACTTATGATAATTTTTTTAATTTTTACTCCTTAACTTTTCTGTGGATCCCCTAGGGGTCCTCTGATCCCAGTTTGAAAATCCCTGGTCCATGGTCCATGCATAAAGGCATGATTTTTTCCTAATGCAGCAGGTAGGCCAGAGGCCTCGAGAGACCGTGTGCTCTTGGGAGACTGAATGGCTTTTTGAGTGCTTATTTATTTCAGGCTTTTCCTCATCCTCCGCTGAGCTTCTGCAGACTCGTCTCTCCAACAGATCACTTCAGCAGAATCCAAGAACCCCTCGCTCTCTCTCTTCTCTCCCACAGCATTATCTGAACTCTCTCTTGTCTTTTCTCACTCTCTCTTTCAGTCTTTTTCTTATCAGTGCCTGTACTGCTTTAGTGTTTTGAGCACTTCCGTGACATTATTTTTCTGCTTCTTTAACATCCTCTACTGTATATTAACCTCACAAGACTATTGGTTTAGATTGAATATCAAGTGAGCTCAAAATAATAGTCGTGGTTGTAGAAAAATGAGTCAGAATTGAGTTTCAAGGACTCTGTGTGTTTTCCAGATTGGCGTGGTGATTTGATTGTCAGTCAGCCTGCATGCTTGAGTTATGATAGATTCTAGCATTAAAAAAAGATGGAGAGAAAGCTGAGAGATGATGGGAGTCTTTATCTAGGTGTAATGTGTTTGAGTTAATGCTGCATGCTGATTCCCATAAAGATCATTTTGACACTTAATATGAAAGAGAAGGAGAGCAGGGCCCCATTGCATCCAAATTTGGCTGTTGAAAGCAGAAGGTCAGCTCAACTGAGACAGGGAGCTCTGTGTATCTCCACCGGCCTCTCACTAACCACACATTTACAAAAAAATATCGTATTTGAGTGGAAAATAAGGCTCTGATAGGGATGGAAGGGAGATGGTGGTCTTCGATCTGTTTTGGCGATGAACGTAATGCGGTTGGGGCCAGAGAAAGTAGACTCACGCTGTTGAAGGGGCCCTGCTGACTGGCAGCAGACAACCAACTGGACCACTCATTTAAATTTCGAAGGAAAAACACAAAATAGCAGACGCAGAGGTCACAGACTTTTTATTTATTTATTTCCTCGGGCTGAACTTCCGACCGCACAGTTTAAAGTCAGCCGTGTGGAGACATCGACCCTTTGGGCTGGTTCTCCATTCTCAGCAGCTAAAAAAAGGCAGAATTACCACTCTTTCTAAACTCTGTTCCCTACGGTTTGCAAAGGGCATTCTCAAAATGTTCTGAAGTCTTAGTTGTATTTGTATATGTTGTGTTCCTGCCTTTTTTCCAAGTTGAATTTAAAGGAATAGTTCTCTCCTAAATGCTAATTGTCATCATTCACTCCTTTTCATGTTGTTTCAGACTTGCATGTTTTTTTGGGGGGGGGTTTTTGTGCAACACAAAAACAGATGTTTAACAGAATGTTCATGCTGCTTTTTTTCCTAACAATGAAAGCATATAGTCGCGAAGGGCCGTCAGGCTAAAAAATTGATGAAAAAAACATAAGAAAAGTATCTATATTCCAAGTCTTATGATATGCAGAATATGCCATTTGAATTTGCACAATTTGAAATGGAAAAAACTGAGGAAATTTGAATATGTGAAAGTGCAACTGATATTTGGTTAGAAAAATAGTGCATAAGAACAATGGTGTTTGTTGGATTGACAAATCTGGAATGATGCATCTTCACGCACCATATTTGAAAATACGCAAATGCAAATGAGGGAATTCATCGCTGTTTGGATAAACTTTATGAAATGTGACCTCTAAGGGCTTTAATTTACAGTTTAGACAACAAATAGCTCATTTGTTATTAGTTAAAATCTACTGTCAACCACTAAGGCAAATGAAGACCACAATGCGGTCATTATTCAGATAAAACTCACTGAATGTAACCAGCAGTGAGAAAAGACCATTATGAGGTCATCGCTCAATTAAAATCCAAATTAACTGTCAATGGGGTTCTTTGATAATGCATAGAGGTGGATTCAAGCACTGTTGGCGCCAAGGTTTATGAACGTAACTGTGCTGTACACAGTGTGGTACCTACATTCGGGCTTGTTTTGTGGAATGAGCTGAGTATTTAGAGCGATGGGTTGAGGCGGTAATGAGATCTCCAGCACACCATCCCATCCTCATGTTTCCTCTCCATTTAGCACAGTTTAAATGCCCCGTACCGCTGGATATGAGTTGTGGTGATATCCCAGCGTTCCTCCATTTAATGTGGTTTCCTCAGGTTTTCTCAGCTCAGTAACGTGCAACCGCAAGGCAGACATCAGTCGTCTCCCTTTGAACAAATGTTTAACTTTCTTTCTGCTGTTGTTTGGGTGTGCTGGACATTTTGGAGCGGCAGCCTGAGAGGTGGATGATGATGGAGGGGTTGATCTTGATGAAGAGGCCCTCCTCAGATGTTCGCTCGAAGGCATTAAGCCACTTGTACATGTTTTAGGACTTGAAAAGAGCTGTCACCACCTGCATGGTTCTTAACTTAGGTCTTACTGTGAAACTCAAGCTCTTGCTTAGTTTTGCAAAGGTCTGGTCCACACCATTAGACCCCACCCACTTAGACGGGAAGAGACCATCTGATCAGCATGTAAAGTGCCAAGCCAGTTGGCTCCATTTGGAGTGTGAATTTAAGATGAATTGGCCACAAAATACAGGAAGTTGGATTTGAAAGTGGAGTTTACTTAATCTATCCATTTGTCATTCTGTGTAACATTATATCATTCTACCTGTTGTTCGTCAATTTTCAAACGACTGCCAAGCTGCCGTTTTAGTTAAAAATTAGTTACATTTCTTTACATTTTAATTTATTATAATTCTAGTTCTTCATAATTGAATTCAAGTTGCAGTTCTACATCTAGCTTGATTCCTCAATACAATCTTAAGAATTGAAGAGGAATTTAAAGACAATTTCATTTGAATTCTTATTGGCGAACAACACTGCTTTTCAGAGCGGGTTTATCTGAAATTATACCACAATAATAGACAGTGGTGAAAAGTATTTATTAAAATAAAGACTTAGCAATTATTATTTCACAGACATAAAACAGTACAACGAAGCGTAATATGCCATTCAAAAATATTTATTAAGTGTCTTAGGTGAAACTGAATATCTTTTGAAGATTTGATGCTACTAGCCTAGAAAACTTTAGAAAAGTACTGGTTTGTTTCAGCTTATAACCCTTAATCACGGAAGTTGCATTACGTCAGCCAATCAGATTAGAGTTTGCCAGAGTAAGAAAGTGCTGTTCAGTTTTGTGTACAGGTTTGTGTGCGGTCTGTGGACTCTTGCTAGACCTGCAGCAGTTTGCCGCTTGCCCTTGCTGTAGTAGATCAATATCACTTTTTTTTTTTTTAATTCCCAACAACTCCCCACTCATGTCACGGCTGGAGCTTTTCATTTCTAGTGGGAGTCCAATTATAAGGTTTGAGCATAAGCGCAGGAATGTGAGGAGTATGTTCGAAGGTGTTTAAATTGACACGGGGTGATGGCAAGGTTATCGGCTGCCCACAAAGTTTCTATTCGAAGGGTGGGTGAAGCCGCTAATTGCCCCTGTTTAGCACCCTGGTTTCGTGGAGTGGAGCAGAACGGTCGGCTTATTACAGGGACGAATGCTTTAGAAAACAAACCTGTGGAGGTCCGGCATGAAACCCAAACACAATTCAACCCAAAAATGCTTCATGTTCACACAACTGATTTACAGTTTGTTGTGTGGCTTAAAGTGATTGTTGTTTGGTTCACTTAGACTGAACAAAGCAAAAATGAGAGATGGGGAAAAAATGTTGGCACCTCATAGGGCTTGATAGGTATGCAGTATAAAACACCCATTAGCGTCATCAAAAGAAGATTTCGAGGAAGTTTAAAAGATTTTATTTTTCCCACTGCCTTGTTTTTATTGTTTTAAGATGTGAATCACCAAGTCTTTGCCTTTGTAGATTTGTAATCTGTGAATGCTACCTTCTTGTACTGAATGATGCTTTTGTTAAAAAACAA